ATACAGAGGAGGAAATAAACTGATTTTTGTTGAACATTATTTCATTCAATTGTAACATGCAGTATATTGCACAGGTGCGTCTCAGTAAATTAGAGAGCAAAAAAGTACTAATTTAACATAAAATGTTCAACTTTTAATACAGATTCATGACTTAAGAGTTTATATTTTTTTGTTTATGGCTTACAGTTAATGAAAAAAAAAAAACCCCAAGAATTACAGCTCCTCAAAGAAATAAATATAAAATGTTATACAACTTTAAATCTAAACCAAAAACCATGAATTTATTCATTTATTTTTCAAAAACGGATGAGTAGTTTTTCTTAAAGCGTTTGGACTGTTTTTAGAAGCAGTTGAGACCAAAGTCAAAGCATAAAAACGTTCAAAAAAATTTAATTTTGCACACTAAGTCCCCTTTGAACACTACAGGTACAATAACGACATCTAGCGGTGAGTAATGAAAACACACTGCTAAAGCGTCACAGCTGGTCAGAACGAGTTCATAATATCTCCGTAACAAAACCATCACACTTGTAAATACCATCACATGTTTATTAAGTGACATTGTACATTACAAATGAAAAATAAAATTAAAAATACAGATGGAGTACATAGCCAAAGCAAAATGTGGTGTTGACTCTTCATTTCCCACTGATCCGTTTCCACAGCGACGCCAATTTTTCTTTTCAAAGCCCCCACGGGACTTTTACACAATTTCAACAGAGGACTCTGCTGTCAGTCTGTGAGAATTTACTAAACATACAAAAGTTATTACTTCAGCTGGCTCGGTATATATATATAAAAATAAACTAAAGTGAAATATAACAATTATAAATGGTGGTCCAAGGCTAGAGAAAACAGCTAAACACGGAGGAAAAAGAACTTGTTACACTTCAGAATAAAATTAACTTTATCCATTTCTTAAAAGTCTATAAAAGGCCCAAGGTGCATGCTATGTTTTCTGATCTCTGATTTTTTTGTTTGTAGGGTTCAATTAAAATAAAATAATAAAAAAAACAACAACCTTATTTTACTGTGTGAAATCTGATTTTCAAAACACTGTTTCTTTCTTGTAAACATTAAATTAAAGAAAAACTTGATTGTTCAACTGTCAAACATAACTCACGAGAATTTGTTTTCGTCTTTGCTCTCCATAAATCTGTACACAATGGTGATTTAAAAGCCACCTTGGGGATGAAAACAAAAATAAAGAGCAGTAGCCGAGGGTGGAGACAGTAGTTGAGTTATAATAACATCAATAATAATAATAATAATAATAATAATGTGGGTTTGGCCTTACTGAAGGGGAGTTTTTTTTTCCTGTTGTTAAGGTAAACACATTCCTTAATGATGATGAGTCCTGGGCAGTGAGAGGGGGCTCTGGCTGTACACGCAAACCGCCCTCTGACCTCTGGCTTGAATAAAAAAAAAAGGAAAGAAAAGAAAGAAAAAAAAAACTGGCCCGAGTGTGACCTCTAGTGGCTGGGAGCAGGAAGAGCACAGGAGAGAGTGAAAACAGGGAAGCAGAGAAGAGATGAAGGTGGGAATAATGGGTGGAGTCAGAGCGCCACATTCAGGTGTTCTGACCGGCAACGTTGGCAAATTAAAAATAACTGGAGCTGGGCTGGTCCCGCCAACTGTCTTTAGAAGATCTTTCCTTTCTTTTTGTTTTTCTCCAGGGTCCTGCAACACAAAAACAAAACGATCAGATTAATCATTATTAATCAATTGTTCAAATAATCGTCAACTAATTTAGTAGTCGATTAATCTTTAACTGGTGTGTACGGACTCAAAAAGCAACATTCTTAGATGAGAAAATAAGCTAAAAATGTACAAAAAAAAACAACATTTTGCATTTAAATATAAAAAACATTCTTTGTAAATACGTTCAACCCAAAACTCCTCAAGTGAAGATTTATTTTCTTGCTTTGCTTTCTAAAAACAAAATTACAAATAACAGAAATCATTTTCAAAAAGTAGCTTTGCTTCAATCATTCCTTCTGTTAGTTGTGCGACGGAGTGTCAGGGCCACAAGGATTTTTGTTTTGTTTCAAGGCCATAACAAATTGGGGCTCGTCAAAAACCAAAAATTTCTACAGTTTGGAAATTTGCTGGTTAGTCATAATATTAGAACAAAAGAAGCAATTTTACCAGAAGGACATCTTAAAATTAGGAGAAAAAAGTAATTTTAATGAGAAAACAAGCTTCTGGAGTTGTGATCTGACATGACCAGTTTAGTTTGTGTAGTTCTTTCTTCGAAATAGACTCAGTTGTTTGAAGAGTCGTTCCAAAGTCCTGCTGCTGATAATGATTTCATGTGATAAAAGAAGTATTTATTTATCTGCAAAACTGATACCAACTTCACAAGATGCTCAACATTCTCCAGTTTAATTTTTGGTTATTTTTTGTGTTGGCGTTCTCATTACGACGTAATCCCCCCAATATTATGAAAGTATTTGGTAACACTTTATTTGATGGGGTGTGCATAAGACACGGTTATAAAAATGACATAACACCTGTTCTAAACATGAAGGAGTTTTATGAATGTCTGACTGTTGTCAGGAAGTGTCATTTAGTAAACAATGACACTTTTAATGCAAAGTTGGTGCTTTTAATTGACTTTCTATGCAACTTTTAGAGCAACCGAATTGCACTTCATGACAACAGACATATTCATTCATAAAAACTCATTCATGTTCATGACAGCTGTTATGTCAGTCTTATGCACACCTTGTCAAATAAAATATTAAGAATATTAAGCTTGTAAAAAATATATATATATACACACACACACGTTTGTGTTGCTATCTTTGTGGGGACTTTCCATTGACTTCCATTCATTTCTACAGCCTAAACCTTACCTTTACCCTTTTCCTAACCCTAACCAAAACTCAATTCATACCTTAGCCCCAACTCTGACCCCTGACCCAAAAACAGGGTTTCCCCTTGTGGGGACCAGGCTCCGGTACCCACGAGGAGCGATTGGTCCCCACAACGTAGTATATGTCAGGAAAATCGTCCCCACAAGGTATTACAAACAAACGCACACGCGTGCGCACACACACACACACACACACACACACACACACACACACACACACACACACACACACACACACACACACACACACCTCATAGCCCGGCTCTAGGCTCTAATATTTTAAGTTCAAATAAATAGAAGCTGTAAAACAAGATGGCTGCTCTGGGTGTTGACGAACTCTGAGGAATGCACTGGTGAAAAATAAATCAAATCTTCAAGTGCCAAAAACTTTATTAATTGATAAAATTGATTTATCGCCCAGTACAAACTGAAGGACTTAAGTTTTCTCAAGAAATTACAGTACTCTGTTCCTTTTTAATTTAGATACTAAAATAAGATATAAAGTCCAGAAAGCCAAACATTTTTTTCATTCTTAATTTAATTTTTCCCACAGTTGTGAGAAAACCAATCATGAACTGAAACCCCAGACTGTGGTGTAGTAGGTATCTGTACCTGGAGGCCTCCATCTTCTGCTGCTCCAGCCGCTGTTGGAGCTCCCAGTTTGACCTCTCATCCTCGAAGACGCGCCTCTTCTCCTCCAGCTCCTTATGTTGAGCCTCCAGGTTCTTCTTCATCTGCTCGTGACGCCGCTGAAGCTGCAATGGTAACAGATGAAAACACACTTAACTTTCCTCCTAAGAAGGTCTACCAATTAAAGTTTCAGCTGGTTATGGTCCTCCTACAAGCAAGAAAAACTTTTTTAAGTTTGCTTGGCTTTAACTAGAGATGTTGCACTTACAAAAAAGCAGCTCAGTTCATGCCACTGTAAATGTTTCCATGGGAATAAAAGAGTCAACAGAGTTCGTACACTTTCCCCACAGTAAAATTCAAGCACTGTAAGCATTTTCAAACTTTTCCAGAAACCACCTTGGAGATAAAGACAATCCAAATGAATTCACTGTAATTAGATATCAGTTACCAGTTATTCAGCAGCAACAAGGCAAGTTAAAATATAACTGAAACATCTGTCAAGCACAGACCTCACAGTCCCGACTAGTCAAAGAACAAAACACTAATTTAACAAAAAATTCCCCAATTTCATTAACTTTATTTAACTTATAAAATATAAGACAATCAATAAGTAATCGAGCCATTAAAAATAATATTCATTATGTTGAAACAATCAAACGAATTGTGTTAAGGAAAGTGACCTTTCTTCTCAAACTAAATGCTCAATCACAATAAAGTCAGTCAAAAAAATCTCTAAAAAATATTCTCGCATTTAGAAAAAACAAATAACTATTGATTCCAACTTACCAAAAACAAAGACAGTTTATTTAACCTAAGATAGAGGAAAAAAAATTGTTTCTTTTTATTTAGTGTGTGTAAGCTAGAGCTGAACAATAAGTCAATAACAGTACATATCACAATAGACACGTGATCAATATCAATAGATAATACAATCTGATAGAGTGTTCATTATATAGAATATTCACTGATTCAGAAGCATTCTGGGAGATGTAGGCAGAAATTGGTGGAATCAACTAACTTGTTCACTCTTTGGTTACCTAGCAACTCATTCTTTGGTTACCTAGCAACGACCTGCTGAGTAACTGGTGCAGAAGCAGTTTATGGTTTCACCACTGAGACTCAAAACTACTTCAAAATAAAAAACTGACTAAGCAGGAAAGGTCACACCTTCAATTCAGATATTTAAAACAAAAAAACTATAATTATCAATATCGACAATTATTGACGTCGACTGATGTGAAACATTTATAATGCGATATGTTTGTCAGTCCTATCATCCAGCTCTGGTGTAAATATCTAGTTCCAACTGTAAGTGACACTTTCCAAATTAAGGTTTTTAGTCAAACGTTAGATTGAACTTTACTACAAAACTGTGCAGTTTGGATATCAATACGGAAATCAAACTTTGAAAACGCCTAACTGAAACCCAAGCAGTGTGTGTGTGTGTGTGTGTGTGTGTGTTACCTCTGCCTCAGAGTCTTTGAGCTTCTGCACCTTCTCCTTGACTTTCATCTCGAACACCTGCTCCATTTCCATCTCCATCTTCTTCATCTTGGTCACATGCTCTCGCCTCTCCTCCTCCATCTGGGCCAGGGGACTCCTGCGGAGCGGCCGTACGGGTGGGGACGGAAACAAAACGGGCACAAAACGTCAGGCAAGCAGCTCAGACACTCAAATCAGCACGAACTGATGTCTACCAACCAGTAAGGTAATAGACTAAAAGACTTCCTGTCAGGTTTTTAGAGAAACCCCAGGGATTTCCTGCTGCAATTTTTAGTCAGATTTTTATAATCATCAGTATTTTTGGCTAATTCTAAAGTTAAAAAAAAAAATAAAAAAAAAAAATTGTGTTCATTGTGGAATTTATCAATTTCACTGCAAAAACAAAAAATCTTACCAAGTATTTTTGGTCTAGTTTCTAATTAAATACACTTGAAATAAAACTATATAATTAACTTTTCAGCAATATGTAGAAGTTTGTTTTAAGTCAATAATTTTCTTAATCTTGGTGGAAAAAGTAAAAGTTCCACTGGGAGATTGTTTTCTTTAACATTTTTTCCATGTTATAAATATAATCGACTATGAAAATAATTAATAGTGTCAGCCATTCTTGTATGGTATTAAATTAACATATTACTCAACATCTGCATACATTTTGGAGTTAGATTTAAGGTTCTGTTTGTCTTATTGTGTCGATCTTCAACATGGATGCTAAAATGTCACATGAACTTGTTTTATAAAAGTTACTGTATCCAAATCAACACCACTTTTTGATAAAGCAGAGAAGCCTAAATATCGACCTTTTGAAAACAATATTCTGCTTCTCCACAGACACCCAACACGTGAGGAAGAGGAGGAAGCTACAGGAAAAGCTTCAGATTGAATCCAACCAGGCAGGAACTGGAAAAGCACCACGAGGTATATCAGAGGAAAACAGTGGGGCAAAGCTAACACCAGTGTTAATAGCAGTAGTTTATTATTAAATGTTAGTAAAAGCTAGGGCTGGACGATATGGGCTAAAAATAAAATCAGATCTGATGTAAATTTACTTTTTTTATTCTCAGTTTCTCTTATAAAAAAAGAAAATTACAAATGTCAGGAAATATTTTTTTGTAAAAATCATCCATTCTTGGAGTTGTACGACTTGGAACTTGTGTTCAACTATGAGAATATAGCCACATTATTAGCACGATAATATTAGCAGAATTTTACCAGAACGCCTCAAAATTAAGAGAAAAAAACTTCTACTTATAAAGATCTGACGTAAACACTACAGTCTGTACTTTTTTCCACAAAACACTTGTTTCAGAGTCCTGTTATTAATAATAATTTAATGCTGATGTGTTTAAAGATTAAGTATTTCCTTACACCAAAGTACAACTTCACAAGATGCTCAATAATTTTTTGTGTAGTACTTTAAAAAAAGAACTTGATCAGTCTTTTGTTTTTTAAATATTTGAAATGCTACCAAACTTGTGCCATGACCTGGCGAGACCTTAAACTGCTGCTGTGCCAGTTGCTCAGCAAGTTGTTGCTAGGTAACCAAAGATCGAGAGAGCCGATTCCACTAATTTTTCTCAGCTAGCCGTGAGAGGCTGAGCAGCTAAATCTGCCTATATCTCCCAGAATGCTGTGCGGTTCTGAATCAGAGTTCAGTGAATATTTTATATACTGACATTAATTACGTGTTTATTGTGATATATATTGCTATTGATTTATTGTCCAGCCCTACTACGAACAATGGAAACCCAATGGGCACAAAAAAAAAAAAAAAAAAAAAAAACCAATTTTTCAAAAAATAAAATTTTTAAAACAAAAAAATTTATAGAAATTAAAA